CACATACCGAATGTGGCTACTGCACTTGTTAATCTATCAAGTGCGCTTTGCGCGTCCTCCGTGCGTTCGAACAGACAGATCATGTCATCGGTGTACTACAAATCGCACAGCTTTTCTCCAGCTGTCCATTCAATACCTACGTTTTAGAGACCACTAAGTGCGTTCTCCAGTATTTTGCCTATGACGAAATTGAACAGGAACAGCGAAGGAGGGCATCCTTGACGGACGTTGCTGCTGGTGACAAACAGTCTACTTAGTTCGTTGTAAACCGTTACACGACCGGAGGTCTGTGAGTGCAGTGACCTCAGTAGGTTAACGTACTTCTGAGGCATTCCTTTTGGGAGAAGGGGGCCGATCAGAGCTGCGCGGTCAACTGAGTCGAACGCTCCTTTCAGGTCAAAAAACATTGCGATCGTTAGTCGACGGTGTGTGACGCAGCTCAAGGATCTGACACAATGTAAAAATTTGATCAACACATCCACGGCCAGGCCGGAATCCGGTTTGTTGTTCACGGATGTTGGTCTCTCTTGAAGGCGTCAGACGTCAAAGTATGACCGAAGGTAGTACTCTGGTGGCAATTGGAACTCTTACGAAAGCAGGACACATTCTATTAACACTGCATTGATAATATCGGTGACGGTGTATGGTATTATCATTGTTATTATATTTCACACGATTTAAGTCTAGGGTGTGTCAAACAAATCACGGTGCAACAAACTCTTTTGTTCCCTCACTGTTCTGAGCAAANTGTTGTTCACGGATGTTGGTCTCTCTTGAAGGCGTCAGACGTCGAAGTATAACTGAAGCTAGCACTTTGGTGACGATCGGGGTCAAACTGATGCCGCGGTAGTTTTCACAGTCGTTGCGGGATCTTTTCTTAAAAATGGGAACAATTAGTGATTCGCCTCAAGATGAAGGAATGTGTTCTTGCATCCAAATGTTGCGCAGTAGGATAGTAATAGTGGTTACGAGGTAATCACCTCCCATCTTGAAAAGAGTGGGAGGAAGCTCATCGGGTCCTGTTGCCTTTTCTCGCTACAGAGCTTAAATGCAAGACCGAACTTCTGCTTCTGTTGTAGGATCGCATGACACTGGCCAAGGAGCTTCAGTTGGAGATGAAGCAGCCTGGTTAGTACTGTTCCTTCGTATATTTTCCTGGTCTGAAGGAGAAAGACTTTATTCTCTTTTCCAGATCTCTTAAACTTCTTTCTCGTTGCAGCGGCATTTCAAAGACCGTTTTGGTTGACTTTATTGTGAGTAAGCATTTTGACTCATGCGATCGATTTATCAGTCATATCCTGTCCAACGAAGAACACTGCTTGCACTCCCATCTCAATAAATCGGTCTCTCATCCGAGTACCCGTTCCCAACTTCTGATTCTTTATGCACACATCAACCGAGCAAATATTATTGCTGACTAGAACAATCATCTTTCACATTAGGATTTTACCTAAATTCGTTTGTCATTTAGTAAATGTATATTTCTTCTTTTTCCAATACTTAACGTTTTCCCTTTTGTAACATGTCGAAAATTAAAATTCTGCCTACATCTGATGAATAATCGTATCAAAGCCTTCGGAAACGAAGCTCCACTCTACCATGCAACTAAACACAGCTGATTGATCTTCAGCACAGAGCTGCCTTATCATAGTCGAGTCGTTCAATGAACACCGGAAGCGAATCACCAACGCTATTCAACTATTTGAGAAAATCCAGTTAACCATACACTAGAAAGCTCTAGACCCCAGTTCCACTCTTATTAGAGTTTATTAGTGGTACATATCCACCATTCCGTCCGGGCTTTGAACTTCGGACCCGTTGTATGGAGGGAGTGTGTTACCGCTGTGCCAACCGGCTCATAGGGCTAAACCGAATTACCAATTCATGTTTGTTTAGACGCCGTCTACAGCGATAGTCAGTCAGTTCATTGGGGCCCGACAGCAAAAAAGGGAGACAACTGACTATCTGTTAACTCCTACGGCTGTCCACAATTTGGATACAGAATCGGACAACAACTGTGAACTAAGCACCCTTGACAAGCATTGCTGTTGTTAATGAAGATGCAAACTACTGCATGACAGACACATGCTCCAATAGAAGTATAAATACAGTGAACTTAGCAAGTTAAAATACTTCAGAAGCATTCCTGTATAAAGAAGACGGCCGAGTAGGGCATCAATATCCTTCAAAATCCGTTCCAAAATTATTCAGTCTCCCTATTTTTGGCTTATCACCCATTATTTCAAGTCTCCAACAGTGCGTTGCCTAAGGCAACGGAAGAAGCCATAACCCTGAACATATGCGAAAGTAACTTGCACCATCCCAGGTGGTTGAGAAAACATTACTCGGGCTTCGGTCACAGTTCAAGTGAGCCACCAATGTTCGAACGCTGATGCAAGTTGGGGCCCAGGCAACACTCGCTAGCATAATAAAAACGCTTGCCTTACTGAGACGAGCATTCAGGATTCGAACATCGTCCTGTCCTTTGTTTTACCGTCTTCGGATTCTTCGGATTTGTTCACCCTCCGCCTCCCCCGGGTATCCGATTGTGGAGACCAGTAAACAGACTGGCGTGTAGATAGTGCACGGTGAACGTGCAGAAGTAGCATTACTCGACTGAATCCATCAATAGTGAACTCTGCCTCATCCCTCTAGAAGGTTCGCTAAGAGCGTCTCGTAATTGAACCAAAAAACGTTCTGTTCGTCATCACGGTTTGTGTTCACAGACTGCATTCTTGACGCAACAAAAGACGAGTTCTTTATTTTCTTCCATCAGTTCATCCACATACTGATACAGTGGTATTGGTCGACTACATGAGCTCGCAATTTAAGTTAGATGTTGAAGAAATCTCATTTGGTGACTCGCATAGCTTCGGTGTTAGGAGAATAGACGACTGCAACTGTGTGCTCTGTTCGTTTCGTGCATACAGATGGAGAAAACTGTTGCAATTGGTTGTAGTAACACTGTTTTCCGTCTAATCAGGAATATGCCCCTTTCCAGGAAAATTGGTTTATGTGAGGTAATTAATGAATCCGATGGCACGCGTGTCCGTCATCGGTAACGCCGTCCTGATTGATAAGCTGAACGTTTTGAGACTTAGTTCAGCTGGCACACATCGACTTTTGACCTATCAACTCCTATCTTGACTGGGCAAATACTCCCAGTTGATGCCAGTCCTCCACCGCCACTCACTGGTATCATACTCCGTCGATCGTCTGCCGCACCGACATTCTTTTCATAGACCCACCATTTTCAT